CACCGCCACCACCACCACTGCTCTATTCTACCAGGATTCTTTCCTGGCCCATGACTCCCAGACCTGCAATTTCTAAGGATTGCCAGGAAGGAGCCTGCAAGAAAACTTAAAATAGCTCCATGCACCCTTCCCTGAGCTCTAACTCTTTGCCCATAGGTTCGTGCCATCCTCCTACCCCAGCCTGGCTCTGGGTCTCTCTCAATCCCTTCCTTGGACAGTGGTTATGCCAGCTTCTGCCAGAGCCGGAATCTTTTAAGCACATTCTGTGAGAAACAACAGGGAAGAGAGAAGCCTGGCCTGCGAGGCGATTAGTTCATGACCAGTCCACTTTTGGCCAACAGCAGCTCAATTCCCTGTCTTTGGTTCCTTCTTCACGAAGTAGCAATAATAACCACCATCTTATAGAGACTGTGAGGAGTACTTTAAACAGGATGCCATCTTTGAAATCCCAAGCCTACAGGTTCTGCTGACCGCTGCTCCCTAAGATTCCAGGTGAGGCAACCCCTAAGCCTGCACATTCCTAGGGGTGCTGTGAGACAAGCATATTAGATAATTTCACCTGAGTTCTCCAGATGTGAGATATCTCATTCACTGAACTTTAGGTACTGTCTTTTGAGCAAGCAGAGGAAAATTAGTATATCTGCTTTCAAAGCTGCAGCTCTAGAGCAAAGGGCTCAGTTAACCATACTCCTCCATACACAGGGCACCGAGCTCTGAGTTCATGTCTTTACTCTCCCCTTCAGGCTTCATCTCCCATTCCTGTACATCTACCCTCAAGCTGGTCTACGGGGTTCAGTGTGCATCTTTTATTTCTATATATCTTACTTTGGTAAAAATGTACAGTAACATTTACCATTGTAACAAGTGTGCGACTTTGCAGCATTGAGTATACTCACATTGTGGAACAACCCTCCCCACCATCCATCTCCAGAACGTTCTTTTCTTCCCCACCTGAAACTCCATACCCATTAAACAATAATACCCGTACTCCCTCCCCTAGCCCCTGGGAACCACCATCTGTTTTATGTCTCTAAGAAGCTGACTGATCTAGGTATCTTTGTAAGCGGAATTATACAATATTCATCCTTTTGTGACTGGCTTATTTCAGTTAGCTTGATGTTCTTAGGGGTTATTTATGTTGTAGCATGAATCAAAATTGACTTCTTTTTAAGGTTAAACAATACTCCACCGTATGTATATACTACATTTATTTTATCCACGCATTGCTCATGGGCACTTGAGAGGCTTCCACCTTTGGCTATTGTGAATAATGCTGCAGGAACTTGAGTAAGCAAATATCTGTTTGGGTCCCTGTTTTCATTTCTTTCACATATACACACAGAAGTGGAACTGCTGGGTCCTATGGTTACTTTTTAATTTGTTAAGGAACCACAGGGCAGCATAGTTTTACATTCTACCAGCAACCCACAAGTGGTCCAGTTTCTTCACATTCTCTCCAGCAGTTGTTACTTTCCATTAAAAAAAACAACAACAACAAACTAGCCATCTTAACGGGTGTGAAATAGTTCAATGTATATCTGTTTGTATGACTTCTTTCAAAAAGACATATAACTGTTTTGTATGTGGTAAGGGTCTACAAAAGTAGCATTCTGCTACTCAGGCTGGCTATTTCCACTTGGAACCGTTTTAAGAGCATGTGTCTAGTCCGTCTTGTGTCCATGGAGCTCATTGCTGTAAAACTTGTGCACAGTGCTCCATGGAGTGCACCAACCCTATCCCTGTATTTGAGAACTTACTATGCACCCATGCCACGCTCACTACACACGTTAATATAATTGGATTTCACGCAGCAATGCTAACTAAGTAGGCTGATTCTCATTCTTATTTTATTGTTGAAGAAACTGGCCCACAGTCACACAGCTGGAAGTGGTGGAGCTAAAAGTTTAATCCAGGTCTGCCTGGTACCAGGAGAGCCCAGCTGGTGAGGGGCTACAAGGAGCTGGCGACAGAGCCCCTCCTGAGCTCCAGCCCTGACTTGGTCACCTCCCTTCAACAGGTGCCTCCTCAATGTCCGTGTAGAATGAAGACAGAACAATTCCAATGCCCTTTCTAGAGCCACCACAGTGGAAAATAACCCTAAATGCAGTCAGGTGTTCCTCCTGGGAGCCACTCTAAATCCTCCTTGGCATGTTGTCCCCAAGGTCCCTCCTTGATAGGGCTGCTTATTCCCAGGAAGACAGAGCTCTTTCTCCACCCCCATCCCACCTCTCCTGAACTTTGCACTTACTGTGATGAAAAATTAACTGGGCTAATGTTTCCCTTCCAAGGACAAGGACAACCTCTGCACAGCAGGCCTGGCTGGGCCCCAAGAGACCAGGTGCCAGAGCTGTATCCATGTGGAGCTGCCTCCCACTCACCACCTAAAGTGGCCAGGGCACACAGGGTCCTCTAGGCTGTGAAGGAGTCAACTCCTCATCCTCCTCAGGGCTTTGTGAGACTGGGCTTATGCCCACCCCACCCTTCTCATGGAGGAAGAACTAGCCTGGACACAGCACCTTCAGATTTGCACGTGGGCGCAGCAGTTTTTCTGCATGCTCCGTGGTCCCTGTCACACTGGTGCTGGCATGGGAGGAAAGTACAGGAAGACGTGGTTCAGTTACACTAACTGACTGGCTGTCTCAGGAAAATGAGGGGTGAATGAGGACCCTTTTCATCAAATGCCATGATGTAGAGGGTGAGGTTCAGACCAGGCCCTGCCACCCCACTGAACCCTCAATTCTCTTTTGGACCATTCCTTCCAGTGTGAGATATGGCTCTGTCGGTGTAAGATAAGTGCTGTGCACTGGAGGAGAAGGATTACAATGCTTAGAATGCTGTTTTTTGATTTACCACTCTGCACAGTAAGAACCGTTTGCTCCATCCTTCAGTGGAGATACCAGCTGCCCAGCAAGGTAGAAGAGAAAAAGAGCCAGGATTCAAAGCCAGGTCAGTTAGAGACAGAGCTGGAACTCCTTGTACTTTATCCGGCTGCCTCTCCAGGGCTGGACTTGCTTAGAAGATGATGGTGGCAGGGGCACCTTTCTGTCCTTCCCTGTTCACTAGGGCACACCCCATTGCCCCCAATCCTTGGTGCATTTCTTGGCTGTGAGTTCCTTGTGGATAGGGACCTCCATCTTTCATTTTGAAGTTCCCAGAAATGAGGAGGAGGGCCGCTTGGTAGATATGTGTCTGACTGAATTGAGCTCCCTGTTCAGGGTACCAGTGCTAGCCCCAGGTTTGGTCCACTCCTCTGCCGAGCTCTGCACATTAGAGCTCCCCAATCACCCAAGGAGGCTGTGAGGAAAGCAATCTGAAGCTCCACTTTACAGGTGAGCAAACATTCATGCAGTGTCACGATGGTGCACCTGTGTAAAGAACTTTTGTTTTACAAAGAGTTCTCAGTGATGTCATCCTGCCTTCCACAAGGCAGCTGGGTGCAGTGGCAAGGTCCTGCCTCACAAAGCCCAGTTCAAGTTCGGGCTCAGCCTCTCCCATTCCTGAGAAACCCTGTAATGTCCGTGACTTGGGTGCCTTATGCGCAAGGCATAAGGACACCTTCCTCCAGGTGAAGATACCAGGACTGGGTGACCTGAAATGAACATAGTGGTCCATCACTCTCCTGTCTCTCTTGATAAGGGCAGGGAATAAGAGAGAAGCTGAGCCTACAACAGCACAGCATCTACCAGGAAGACCAGCCAGAGCTGGGTCCAACTTGCTAAGCTCCGCTGGGGCTCAGGAATTCTCTCAGGGCCCAGTAGCCCGGAGTTAGAAGGAGAAGCCGAAAGCCACAGACACTGAGAGGCCTTGCTCCAGGATCAGGCCAGGGCCCCTGAAACTTCGGGGCTGACTTTGTGGATTGGGCCACACCTCACTGGGCTTTGTAACTCCCTACCAGCTCTCGGTTTGCAGATTACTTCTTTTTCACCACGGGGGGTTTCCTGCTGTTAAAAACAAACAAAGCCTTAGCTACCGGGCGAGTCAGATAGGGGAGGCGGCAGCCTGAGAAAGGCGCTGGGGTCTGCAGTAACTCCCCAAAGCCATGAGGGGCCTGTGGGCAGAAGCCCCACAATTCTGCTGCCGGCTTGGGAGGGGTGGGGGTGTGTGTGCAAACTTCCCCTTTCGCTCCACTTTTTTGCGAGTTCACTAAAGCTCTTGCTTTATTTATTGGGATCGTTTAGTATCTTAATGTATCACGAGATTCTGCAACAGCCTGTAATGTAAATGTTCCTCAAAGATAAATTCTAACGCGCCCCATTCATTCCTTCATGAATTCAACAGACGTCTTTGAGGCCCATTTCAGCCAGGGGCTGTTCACAAGGCCCAAGGGACCCCTGCCTCCAGCTGCTGTTTAGGTTGTCACTGGGATCCCCAACTCTCCACAGAGTTTCAGGGCGGTCAGCTGCTGTGATTTCACAGATACGAAAGTAAAAACAGCCCCCGACCGCGAAGGCCTTGACAGGGATCTCGCGCCCCGACATCCTGGGCCTCGAACCTTCCCGCGCCCCTCTTGGGCCCAGGTCCTCTGAGGGGGGTACCGGGCAGCGACCCGTCGGCCGACGGCGCCAGTTTGCTGCAAGTCTCACCCTCTCCCGCCCGCGACTCCAGCGGAGCTCCGTGAGTCTGGGCTCGGAGGGCGGACGCGCGCCCGAGCTCTGTCCCCGCCGGGGCCTCTCTCGCCGCCCCTTTCCCAGGACTTCCTCCCCGCGTCCGCCCGGCCTCGGGTCCGGGCAGTGCAGGGTCCCGGGCGCTTCAACCCCGGCGGCAGCCAAGCCGGGTTGCCCACGTGGGCGTGCCCCGCACAGGGGTGTGGGGACCGGGCACCCTCCCCGGAGCAGGGGGCGGCAGGGCGCCCGGGGAAGGAGGCGGCTGGGCCGGGGGAGGAGCGGGGAGCCCCGGCGGCGAGGGGGCGGTGACAGCGGTGGAAAGAGGCTGCACGCGGATTTGCATGAAACATAGACTGGCAGCGGGCGGGAGCAGAGCGGGAGCGCGGCGCACGCCCCGGGCCGGCCCAGCGAGCCAGCGAGCGAGCCAGCAAACCGGAGGAGGAGGGCCGCGGGAGGCGAGGCCGCGGAGGCGGAGGGATCTGCGCATCAAAGCGAGCTAGGCGAGCAAAGTTTGGCTGGGGGTTGGACTTTCCTTCCCGGAGGCGGCACCCAAACAGCCACCCCGTGCGGAAACCCAAACTTTCTGCTGCCACTTCGAGTCTCGCGGCCGCCTCCTCCGCCCCGCGCTCGGGGCCTGCCTGACCCCGCGCCGCTGTCGCCCGCCCGCCGCCGTCCGGCCTGCCCCCGCTGCTCTCCTCCCGCGTGGGAGCCGCTCGCGCAGGGCCGCGCGCCGAGCCCCGCAGGCTGCAGCGTCGCGGCCCGGCCCGGCGCACCCGCAAGTTCGCCGAGAGTTGAGGCGAAGTTGGGCCGAGCTCCCCTCTGCGCCCCCGGCGTCCCGCCGCGCCCTGCCCCGCCGGGGGCGCCCCTGGCCGCCCGCGCGCACGCCCCAGCCATGTCGTCCATCCTGCCCTTCACCCCCCCGATCGTGAAGCGCCTGCTGGGTTGGAAGAAGGGCGAGCAAAACGGGCAGGAGGAGAAGTGGTGCGAGAAGGCGGTCAAGAGCCTGGTGAAGAAGCTCAAGAAGACGGGGCAGCTGGACGAGCTGGAGAAGGCCATCACCACTCAGAACGTCAACACCAAGTGCATCACCATCCCCAGGTGGGGTCCGGAGGATGTGGGGGGCGCCGGCCTTGTGGGGTTGGCCAAGGAGGGCATGTGCGCGCGGGTGTGCGTGTGTGTGGAAGGGGGCATTGAAGACGCGGGCGAGAAGGGGGTGGAGGGACCCCAAACAAAATCTGTGGATTTGCCAGCTTTCCCAGTCTGGGCTTCCACGCGGTGCTCTAGCTTCCACACCTCACATTCGCTTTCCACCCCGAGAAGGGGGAGTGCTACTGAGGTTGGCCCCCACCCCCGGAGCTGCGGGCTCGAAGTTGAGGGCCGCTTTGTTAGGCTCCGCGGGCCGAGCCCCTCCTCCTCCTCCGCCACCTCCCGCCCGCGGCCCGCGCTCGTGGAGGTGGCGGTGTGTCTCCCTTTCTTTTCTCCAGTCCTGTCCCCCCACTTCTCTCTTCCTCTACAGGAATGCGGTCTGTACAGCTGGAGCCTGGTGATTGACAGATTCCTTCTTCGTTCTTTCTTTGCCTTCGGGATTAGCATTTTTATCGAGTATTTTTAGACGCAGTTGTGCCAGTCTCCCGCCCCCTGCGCACGCACGCACGCACTTAGTTGCAGAGCACGGCTCTGACTTTCAAGTGGGAGGGACATGTGGGGGAAAGTAAGGTCTTCTCCCCCTCTGTCCACCCACCCCTGACTGCTTTTGCCCTCATTTTAGTCTACGACATTGCGTTCCATAGAACAGAGCTCCAGACAGATAACAAAACACACCCCAAAGGGGGCCTCCCGCCGTCCCCTGCATTCCTGTAGAGCCCTTTTTCCCAAAGCGTGTTGCCATCTGTCCTGACCTCCTTTATCCTTCCCATCGGGTTAGCAAAGTCCAGCGGGAGCTCACAGATGGCTGATGGAAGGGTCAGTGCTTTCTCTCCACTCCCAGGGCCTTCCTGAGCTTGGTGGTGCCTGGCTGCGAATTGGGATGGGGGTACTTTGGTCTCTTATCTCTACTCATCTTCCTTTAAAGTCTGATTCCAAATTAAGGAAGAGGGTGTGCGTGCGTGCGTGTGTGTGTGTGTGTGTGTGTGAGTTCTTGGGGTCCCAGGCAGCAGAGGAATGAGTAGAGGGCTCCCAGGGTCTGAGTTGGCAGGGTTGTCATCCCTGATCCTGGGCTAAGGGTGGCCTCCTCCATCCTGGGCCACCTGCGGGGGGCAGCTGTTCAAGGCTGCCAGCTCTGTCAGGCAGGCACCAAGCAACATCTGCCATGGGAACCCAGGGCTGGCCTTGCCTGGAAATAAATGCCACATGCGGTGGAGTGCTGATTTAAAAATTAGTTAAAATAAAACTGGGTGGATCCCATCAATAAAGGGAGGGAAGGTGGTGGTGTGTCTCTGGAGCATACTCAGGGTGTGTGATCCACAGCCAGAGTTGACTTCAGGGGAAGTGGTGGGATGTGATGGCCGAAGGAGCCTGGGTTTGGGTCTGAGAAGCTCTGGTTCTTAATTCTTTTTTCTCTTGGGGTGGGGGAGGTAGGTGGGTACATGTCATACTTCTGTCTGTGGAGGGGTCTGTGAAACTGTTCGTCTAATCTGCCCAGGTGCATTGAGGACAAATGCTTTATGCATTGAAACAAAAAAAGTGGTATCAATTATACAACAGGCAGCTGTGAAAAGTGTTTCACTATTTTCAAAGCACTTTCATATGGCTTCATGAAGTCCTTGAAGAAAGACAGAAAGAAGGAAACCAACTTCAGCAAAATAGATAAGGCAGTTAGGCCTGAGCCGGTCTTGTTTTTAAACTTGAGGTGAAAAGGCTGTGCATGGTTGCCATGGGTTTCGGACCCACCACACTCCTGCTGATGTGGCCTCTGCAGGTTCTGAGCATCCTTTGCTGAGTGCTAAGTGCCGTTAGCCAGGGGTGGGCAGTGGATCTCTGCTGGAAAGGTGGTTCTTGTTCAGTCTCAGGGCTGGTGACAGCTTGGAGGAGCAGCCTTGCTAGGAGTTTGCCTATTGCGTGGGGAGGGGGGGTCACATAGCTTTGGCCAGCCTTTTCCTTTTCCATAGCCTTCCACAGTCTGAGGGAGGTGAACATAGGGAATGCTTCTGAGAGTTCCAGCCAACCTGCCCCCTGGCCTTCTCATGACTTTTTAGGATCAGGGCATCTTCTGCTTGCCTACCGAGGATCTAATATCAAAGTCAATTTTATATTTCACTTTATTTATTTACTTATTTTGCCATGTTGGCAGTGGGCCCAGGATCTTGTACATTGTCAGGCAAGTGTTCTACTCGGTCCTAAGCAGATTTTTTTCTTTCATCTTTTTGCAGCTAGAGAAATTTAGTTGCTTGGGTGGATCCAGACAAAATGGATTTCTATCCCTGGATTTTGTGCCCACGCCTCAGGGTCACCTTGTCTCCCTTGGCAACAGCTGCTGCTGTTTTGGTCATGGGCAGACAACTAAAGGCCATGTCTTGGGGAGGTGACTAGTTGATCTCATGGTGGGGATGTCTATGTGTCTGTTAAGCCCCGTAGGTTGCCATGTTGCTTGTTACATTGTCTGCTCTTGCTGCCTTTGAGAATGAGAGCTTTGGAAAGTAGACAAAGGAAAATGTGTGATTTAGTCATCCCACTGTATGTGGGGTGGTGCTTCAGAATCTTCTTAGAGGTCTGGACCTCGGAGCTTTGAGGAGCCCCAATCTAAGGATATGTAATCATGACCCTGAGCTGCGGTGGCAACATAAAGCAACTGTTGTTTTATGCTGGGACTTCACATTGCAGACTGGCTTCTCTGTTTCCCCAGAGAAGAGCTTGTTTCAGTGATCAGGAGAGCTGGAGTGATGTGGGCTTACTGATGCTAAGACTGGCTGACATATATCACCCAAGTGGTAAGGGCTTAACTTATATACACGACAGAGAGGTTGTCAGAGGACTCAGATCTGGCTGGATGCTCAGAGCTTAAAGCAGGTTTTATTCCAGCAACTGCTCACTCCTCACCTGCTTGAGTACCTGAGCAGGTGTCTTCCTCCAAAATTCCTAAGAGGAGAGTTGGAGAGAGGAGTGTTGGTTCACACCTGTAATCCCAGCTACTTGGGAGGCAGAAGCAGGAGGAATGTGAGTTCAAGTCCAGCCTGGGCAAAGACAGCTGAGAGACCTTGCCTCAGAAACAAAATAAAAAAAAGGGCTGGGGATGTAGCTCAGTGGAGGCCCTGGGTTCAATCCCTAGCGCCATAAAGACAAGAACAATAGCAACAAAAGAGTGAAGCATTTGCTGCTGAGAGGTCAGTAATAAGTTGTTGAGCACACTTTAAAAACTGTGCTTCATGTCTGGGATCCAGGTCTCAGCCCAGTTGTTGGAAGCTGGATCAGTCTTCTGGCATTGTTTCTTTGGAAGGGAATTTGGCTTTCTTGTGTCAGAACAGGGAATCCAGAGGAAAATAGGAGGAATGAAGCAAGTCCTAGGTCTGACACACAGCAACTCCTTCCTCTCTGTGCCCCTCATCTTTTAATATAGCCTCCTCCTGTTAACCTTCCAGGACTTTGACAGGCGCCTGTCACCCAGGGGACAGAGGAAAAGGTTCTTCATCTTTAACACTTTTCTCAGGTGTCTGGAAACAGACCAGTCACCAAGGCTGGCAGGTGTCCTCTTCAGTACCCTGCAGGCTTCAGCATCATCCACCTCCCTCTGTATGAACCATTAGCAGCAAGCACACTTCCAGCTGCCAGGGAGACAGTTCACCCCTCCTTGCTCTTGTTAACCTTGGTTAGAGGTGCTCAACACAGGGCTCCGGGAGAGGGAGCTGACTCAGTGGTGGCAGGATCTAGCAGCCACTTGGCATTTCCTGGACACAGGGAACCTCAGCTGTTGCTGTATGTACCCAGGAGTTGAATGTTTGGGCCCATGTGTGTTGCAGAACACTCCATGCTCACAGCTCCCTATCAAATGTTACAGGACTGCATTTTGTTGATTGGTTGGTATTTATTGGACCCCTCTCCATATCTGAGTCAGTGTTACAGGCCCCAGGGGAGGGAAGGTCGCTGCTTGTGGAGAGCTCACTTCAGCAAGGGAAACATTGAGAGGGCATCTTTTGAGTGCCCACCTGCTGTTTCTGTCATGTTCCCAGCAATTAGAAGAAATGCGAGCTTTAGTATGGATGGATGTGTTCAGGGAAGGAGACTAGATGCCTCTCTTAAATGTCCTAGAAGTCACTATGGTAGAAAATTAAATGACAACAGCTACCTGTTTTCTCTGGAGGAAGCACAGAATTCAGGTCCTATGTCTGCTACTTTACTACCTTGATGGAATTAGGAAATCGGTTCATGCTTCAGACCCTTCCTGTCTACACCTATAAATTCAGATGAGCTAAGGCCTGTGGAAGTGTTTTCTAAACCAGAGAGCTGAAATGTGTTTTAACTTCTGTCCTTATCACTCATTCTTGATGGAATTTATTCAGTCACTTAGCAAATGCCTTCTATAATGACCCAGTCAGGGCGCCTGTGCTCAAGGACCTCTCTGCCTAGGGTAGGAATAACCTTGCCCCAAGATATAGGACACAGGCTGCAGCCACGGAAGGCACAGAGCGCCCCTCTGTGCAAGGACACACAGTTAATGTGAGGTGGGCAGGGAGGAGGTGGGCGGATGTGTGGTAGGCAACAGGATGGGAGTTATGGTCCATGGGCATTTCTGGAATATAGGATGCTCATGGGAGCTTTTTGGTACCTGGGAAGAGCTGCCTGTAACAGTGGTACCGTTAATCTTCTGCATTTTACTAAACCAAGTGCTGCTGTGAGTATTTTACCTTGGGACTTGTGCCAAAGGGCTAGTGAGCTCGGTGCTGTGTCTTACTCCACTAGAAAGTTTTCTCTTTGAGATAAAATGTAACTTAGTGCTGCAAACCTGTTCCTTGGTGGGAACAGTGACTAAAAAGCAATGTTAGATATATTAGTCAGAATAGAATAGAGCCTCAGTAACAAGCAGGCAACTTGCAGTAGTTATGGACACTTAGCTCTGGTTTTACCTTGCCTTTCATTGCTCTGGTTTAACACTTGCTGAAAATAAA